CATCTTGAATTGCCCTCAGGCAATAATCCACAGGTGTGGCAAGTTTTTTTCAACATGGTGGGGCAATTGCTTTTGCCAGGAGGCTAACTGTGATTTTAAGGGTCTTAATTGGCCTCATTATCTCCCCAACAGAGAGGCAAGGTGTTTTCCAATAGGATGGGTCAACTGTCTTCCCCCCCAGTCAAGGCTGCCTGAATAGCAAATGTCTGCATGAGAAAGATGACCTCTGCAGCATGAAGGAATGACTCAGCACAGGAAACCAGGGTGACTTCCTTCTGAACTCTAACCTCAGAGCCCCAAATCCCGGCTTCTGCTCACACAGGTCTAGTCCACTCTGCCCTCCCTCTGCCAGAGCACAAGGTGAGTGGTTCCATAGGGAATTTTGTGCCTTGGTCCTTTGAGAGGGTACCTGAATTTCTAGCCATCTCTCCCTGACAGACAGAAACCCCACTGATTTTCACAGCCAGATGTTATGTGGTACCCTTCTCAGTTCCAGTGCTCTATGCTGGAGGGCCAGCTTGGGGATTAGACCCCAGCATTCTCACTGGTAACTGCCCACAGCTGAGATATCTCTCCAAAACTTCAGTTGCTTCCCAGCCAGCCCTTTGGTGACTCCGCCCCTCTTACCAATCTCTATGCATTTTCTACTTTTCGTGTTTCTTGATAATTTTTTAGAGCTCACTTATTCAGTGTCTCTTTAACCTTTAGTATGCCATATGCATCTATAGACACTTCAAAATCATTTTTCATGAGAATTTTCAACTGAAAATATTCAAGAAAACCCAAATTGTGAGTAATATATTTATTTTTATAATATTCATTGCAAATTGATTTTTTAATTAAATTCAAAATATTGTGGCATGTGGGGATGGTTTCTGTTTTGGATGTGTGGCAGTTAACTGGTTAAAAAGTGATATGTGATTAATTTAAAATAAATTCCACTCTCAAATAGTTTGCCTACCCATGAAAGAACAGTGAGGATTTGGGCACTCTGCTAGGTGCCAGTAGAGGCCCCACTCTATGGACCCCATATCCTCTTCCTCTCTTTGTGTCTAAAAGACATTGAACTTTGGTGTTTGGCAGAACAAATGTTCTGGTCAGAGTCATGCCTGTCCCTTCCTCTCCAGAAAATTCAGTAACCCCGAGGCACCAAGTACTGAGGGAAAGCCGTTTATGGCAGTTTGCTTGGTCCTCTTCTCACTACCTTCAACTTTTTTCCTTTTAGCTCTAGATTTGGTTGGGGTTTTAGGGAAGAAGGGAGAGGACAAGGGGTGAGAGGGAAGGGGGAGTGAAGCTGAGGCAGGACTGTATCCCAACACAACTGAAAAGAAGGTGAAGTTTATCTTTTTTGGGTTCCCCATGCTGCCCATGTCACCAGAAAGGGATAGGACTGGGCCAAGGCAGGTCTGCCCAAGCACGGTTTGGGATTTGTGAGTGGTTTACTTCGTGCAGGAAATAATTCAAGACACAAGCCCAACTGATCTTGCAACTATGTTTAATAAAGGTTGGGACAGTAAAACAAAGGAAGGACTTAGGATAGAAGAAGCAAGATGGCAGTAATAGAAGTGTCCCTAGAATGTGCTGCCTAGACTCAGGAAAGGAAGTCATAGTAACAGAAGTGAGCCTGGGCTGGGCTGCTAGATCACTGAGAAGTACAAGTCTGAGTGACAGAAGTGAGCCAAGTGGCGACTGCTTCTGTCTCACTGAGAAGGTAGGCAAAAGGAGGGCCCTCAGAGCTTAGGAGAAAGTATTATTACACACATGAGGAAAGGGAGGAAAGGGTGTGCTCAGGGGAGAGCATGTACTTGATCCTTTGTCTTGAGGATTTTATGTGTTTTCTGTAGACGGGAATTTTAGTGAAGGTCTCAATCCGATTACTCATCAGCTTTTTAGGTGTGTACTTTAACATGCTTATGTATCAAACTAGAGGACCGGTGCACAAAAATTTGTGCACTCGGGGGGAAGGGGGGTGGTCCCTCAGCCCGGCCTGTGCCCTCTTGCAGTCTGGGACCCCTCAGGAGATAATGACCTGCTGGCTTAGGCCTGCTCCCGGGTGGCAGAGGGCAGGCCCAATCCCTACATGCAGCCCCTGGTCTGGCTCAGAGCAGGGCTGATTGGGGAGTTGGGGCACCGTCCCTGTCATGCACAGAGCAGGGCGGTTCGGAAGGTTGCGATGCCACCCTCAGTCACGCTCAGGGTAGGGCCGATTGGGGGGGGTTGGGGCACCGCCCCCTGTCACACTCAAGGCAGGGTCGATGGGGAGGTTGCAGCGCCACCTCCTGTCACTCACAGAGCAGGGCCCATCAGGGGGATTGGGGCTCCGTACCCTGTCACGCACAGAGCAGGGTTGATCAAGGGGTTGGGGAGCTCCACCCTGTCACACACAGAGCAGGGCCCATCAGGGGGTTGGGGAGCTCCCCCCTGTCATTCACAGAGCAGGGCCGATCAGGGGGTTGGGGCTTCACCACTGTCACACTCAGGGCAGAGCCGATGGGGAGGTTATGGCTCTACCCCGTCACACACAGAGCAGGGCCCATGGGGGGTGGGGGGCGCCGCACCCTGTCACACACAGAGCAGGGCCAATCAGGGGGTTGGGGCGCCGCACCCTGTCACACACAGAGCCGCAAGGCGATCAGGGGGCTTGGGCGCAGCCCCCTGTCATGCTGATCCCGGTGCCGGGAGGCATATTACCCTTTTACTATATAGGTTAGAGGCCTGGTGCACGGGTGGGGGCCGGCTGGTTTGCCCTGAAGGGTGTCCTGGATCAGGGTGGAGGTCCCCACTGGGGTTCCTGGCCAGCCTGGATGAGGGGATGATGGCTTATTGCAGCTGGTCACACCCCCTTCAGGGTGGGGGTCCCCACTGGGGTGCCTGGCCAGTCTGGGTGAGTGGCTGAGGGCTGTTTTCAGGCTGGCGGGTGACTGAAGCTCCCAACCGCTCCTTTTTTCTTTTTTTTTTTATTCTGGGCCAGCTTTAGCTCTGAGGCTTGGCTCCAGCTCTTAGGCCTCCACTGCTGAAAGCAGGTATCTGGCCTTTGTTTACCTTCTGTATTTGAAACAATGTTGCGATCCTGCTGGCTGAAGCCTGGCCAACTAAAGCAGGTTTCTGGGGTTTTGTTTAGCTTCTATATTTGTAACATAGTTGCTTAGAGTTGCAGCTCAGAGGCCAGCAGCGGCAGGCAGGGAACGTTGGAGTCCTCCATCACTGAAGCAAGCAAGCCTCATGTTCGCTTGAAGCTGCCTGGCTGCTGGCCACCATCTTGGCTGGCAGTTAATTTGCCTATCATCCTGATTAGCCAATGGGAAGGATAGCGGAGGTACGGCTAATTACCATGTTTCTCTTTTATTAGATAGGATGAGCATTTAGTGGGCTTTGGGATCATTCTCTGAATATCTTTATCACTATCTTGGATTTGTCTGGATCTAATTTTTGTTTTGTTTTGTCTTGTTATTTATTCCCGTGACTTCATTGGTTCTTGGGTTTAATTGGCCCTAATGGCACTGCAGGGTCTCTGTTATTTATCTACCTGACTAAGGTGATTTAAGGTACTCACTCTCTGATTGGGGAGTAGAGGTGTAAACCACTTGCTCCTACATGTCCTTGATTGGGGAAGATAGAGTCTTATGATTTATTAGCTGGCTGACACGATTGCTTGACCTTTTGTTTAAATATTTTGTCTCCTTTTTCCTCAATTCACTTGCTAGAGAATTTTCTTAGTTTAGTTTTTATTAAACGGCCTCAGCTACTTTTCTTCCTCTAAATCCTCCAGCCCTTCTGGTTACCAAAACTGTTCCTAAGATAGGCTCTAGAGCACATGCCCAAGCATGTGTAACCCACTGACAGCTGTTTAAAGAGTTAAGCTCTCCTAGGAGAGAGTGCTTTGGAACAGGGACCATACCTCCAAAGTGAAGGCATATCTGTGGTTTTTTAGGAATTATCAGTAATAGAAGCAGAGCTTTCCTGGGACTCTTGGAAACCTTTCTACTCTAAATGCCTTGTACGGTAACCACTACCAAACCCAATTGTGCTGGTGAGACCTGAGAGAAACCAAGAGAGTTTGCATGGTTGGGGTCTCCAAAGTGATATCAGAGAATGCATTTTTAGACCAGGAGGGATAATGAAAAGAACTTTTGGCTTAGGTGTCAGTCACTGTTTTAGAAACTAAGACTGTAGAGAAGAAAAAGACAATTATTCTTCTCTCAGTCTATTCTATCAAATGGAGAGCCAATGAGGTCAATTAATCATTAAAGGAGTGATGCTTATCAGTGGAGATAATCAGTTTTGCAGCTGTGCTACAAGGAACAGAATATTGGGGGCTCCTGGTTAGTCTCTTGTGAACAGCTAAGCATGAAATAAGGAGAAGCCCAGGAAATATGGCAAGGATAGTTCTGAGGGTTAGTATCTGGGAGGTTGAGGTCAAGGGCAGTGGGTACTAACAGCTGTCACATAACCTTCTCTACAAGTGCTTTCCTGGTTCTGTGAAACCTATGAATAACCTACTTATTAGCATGGCATCTTTTCATGAAACCAAATTATTTGGGTAAATAATTCAGGGGAACAGCATTCTGCTGGGAGACCACATTTACTCTGTGGGGTTCTTCCAAGGCAGTTCTCAGAGTTGGCCCATAGATCAGAAGCAACGTTTTCTGGATCCAGATCATGTATGTGAACAATAAAACCTTGGTCCTGTCATAGGCAAGAGTAAGAACCACGGACATCAGAAAAAGGGCAGCTTTGGGACAGAGGGCCATGCTTATCAATATTAAACATTGCCTCCTGGAACAAATCTTTAATCCACTCCAGTGGGTAAATATTTGATCCAGTCATGCCCAAGAAAAAGGTGAATGACTCTCCTTGTTGTGCATGAGCAGTGTCCTTAGTTTTCATATCTCTGCCAGGATTAGGGATCTTTGGAACTAGTTTCCCCACCCAGTTCATTTCATCGCTATATAATCAGAACCAGAGGGATCCAGTTCACACAGCTGGAACCCATGTCCAGAAACAAAGAGCTGGAAGCCATCTTCAGTTGGAGGGACTCTTCCAGATTTTTGAAAGATTTTTACCCCTGAGTAACCTATTGCTGTATTTGTTTATATATACACTAGTGGCCCGGTGCACAAAATTCATGCATGGGGGGGGGGGGCGATGTCCCTTAGCCCAGCCTGCACCCTCTCCTATCTGGGACCCCTCAGGTGATGTCCGACTGATGGTTTAGGCCCAATCCTAAACCAGCAGTTGGACATCCCTCTCACAATCCGGGACTGCTGGCTCCTAATCGCTCACCTGCCTGCCTGCCTGCCTGATTGCCTCTAACCACTCTGCCTGTTGGCCTGCTCGCCCCCAACGGCCCCCCCCCCACTGCCAGCCTGCTTGCCCGCAAATGCCGCCCCCCCCGCCAGCCTGATCACCCCAAACTGCCCCGCGCCCGCTGGCCTGCTCGCCCCCACCTTCCCTCCCCCCTTGCCTGCTCCTCCCACACAGCCCCCCTGCTGACCTGCTGACCCCAAACTGCCCAGGGCGTGGGCTCAGGCCTTCAACTGACCCCCAGAGGGGGGTAGGGTGTCCCCCTCTGGGACGTGGGGGCGTGGTTCGTCCCCCCATCCGCGCCTCCCCTCAACGGGTTTTGACGGATCAAGGACGGGTCCAGATCACCAAGTATTTCATATACAAAAACCTAGGACTATCTTGGAAGATTAAAGAATAGGCAGGCGGTGAGGGAGAGGGTAGGA